AAAATCCCTTTTATTCATTTATTTTTTCCTAACCAAAGACCATTGCGTATATAGTAGTTCAATTTCCATGAGTGTTTTGGACTTCAGGTCTTTCTGCTTTTCTTGAATTCCAGCTTAAATCTATTGTGGTAAAATAACATACAAGCTATTTGATTTTTCTTTTATGTGTTGAGGCTTACTTTGTGACTGACAACATGGACTATTTTGATGAAGGTTCTATGTGGTACTGAGAACAGGTATATTCTTTCTTGTTTTGGTGAAATATTATGTAGATATTGGTTAGGCTCCTTTGATTGATAAAAGCACTTAGTTTCATTATTTCCTCGTTTAGATTTCATGTAAAAGACCTGCTGATTGGTGAGGTTAAATCTTGAAGTCTCCCACTATTAATGAATGGGGTTCATTGTGCAGATTAATTTAGGAATGAATCTTGAAAAAATGTGGGCACCCTTGTGTTTGGGGCATAGAGGTTCAGAATTGGGAAAAATTAGGTAGATTTTTTTTAATAAGGATGAAATATTCTTCTCTGTATCTGTAGGATAATTTTGCATGAAAATGTGTTTTGTTAAATATTAGAATAGCTAACTGGTCTTATTTCTGGAGTCTATTTGCTTTGAAAATATTTTATCCAGTATACATTTGCCTGGAAAATATTTTTCCAGCACTTTAATATGAAGTAGTGTCTATTTTTATTCCTGAGGAGTGTTTCTTTTATGTAGCACAATCCTAAGCTTGTTTTAGCATCCGTATATTTGCATGTTTTACTGAGAAATTGAATCAATGATATTCAGAGATAGTAATGTCCAGTGATTGTTAAATTCAATTATTTTGTATAGTTTCTCTCTCTCTCTCTCTCTCTCTCTCTCTCTCTCTCTCTCTCTCTCTGGGTGTGGGTGTGCATTTTTTCTGAGCTTCACATGTTTTGTTTTGATGGGGTTGAATTGCTTATTGCCTGTCTCCTGTCTCCATTGGTGTAGATTCCTTTTTTGGGTTGCAGTTTTGTTTCTAGTATTTTCAGTAGAACTAGATTTGTGGACATATACTGTTTTAATTTGGATAATTCTTGAAAAATTTTGTTTTCTCCATCTATGGAGATTGAGAGTTTTGTTGTGTATAGTACTCTAGTTTGGCATCTGTGTTTTTTTAGAGGTTGCAATATATCTGTTCAGTCCCTTAAAGCTTTAAGCACCTATTTTGGAAATTTTAGTATAATTTTGATAAGTTTGCCACTGTGTATTACCTTTCTGCTTTAACTCTCTTCTCTTAATAACCTTTCTATGTTCTGCAGAATTACTGTTTTGTTTGCTATGCAGTGGAAGCTGTTTCTATTCTGGTGCAGTTTAATTGGTTTAATATAAATAAGCTTCTTACATGTTTATAGGCATGTCTTTCTTTAGTTTCAGAAAGTTTTCTTTTTTTATTTTTAATGAAATCTTTATTAAGTAAAAGTTTAAATGAAAAATTTCCATCTGGGTTGACAGTGCTATCCTCCTAGACCTATAGACTATCTAACAATAAATCCAACATTAAACCCATGGGAAACTCCTTTTGAGATATTAGTCACGGTTGTCCAAGATTTTCTTGTCAGCATGTATAAGGACAATGACTCAGACTTAAGTCTGAATAATTTCTATAGCTGAATATGTCACACTCGTTAGATACAGGGTCTAGAGACTCTTGAGTTGGTATTGATCTGAAAGCCTCCTCCTTGCACACAGTCTTTCTTTTTTTTTAATTTCTTTTTTTTTTGAACATGATATGCTTTTTTATAGCATGTTTTACAAGGGGAGGGGGTAAGAGGGGCCAGGTGGTAGAAAAGTACAAAATCTTCTTGGCCTGTGCCTTGAAACATGTCATGGTCTATACGGTACACTGCCTTGAATTTTGATCTACCTGCTGTTCTTCAGAAGATATGGTACACTGCTTGAGTTATGGTCTCCCTGCTATTGTTAAGAAGATATGGTACTCTGCTTTGAGTCTATCTGCAGTTGCTAAGCAGGATCTTGCAGTTTTCAAGCTTCAGAGGACATTGTGCAGGTGGGGAAAGGTAGGGGGTGAGGGTAAGGGCGAGGGTCCTGGCTTCTGGCATCTCCCCATTCTCTGTTTAGTTAGAGAAGGCGTATTATTCTTCTATGATTTCCTTCAAAATTATTTTTGGTCCTTGGTCAAGAACTGTTCACGTTCATCTATTCCTATGATTCTTAGGTTAAACCTTTTCATGGTATCCCAAGTTTCCTGGATATATCATCTTAGGACTTTTTAAATATAAGATTTTATTTCTTTGATGTATCATAACATGTATCCTCAATGGTTAGTATTTATTGGAGGCAATTGCATGCAGAAGTACTATCCGATTACTAAAACTGTGTGTATCTATTTAACAATGTCTGCCTAATGAACCCATACACTTTAAGAAATAGTACATTCTGTCATCCTTAAGCTGAAATCCTATTTTACAGAATTTTTGCCATTTTTGTGCCATGGTTCTAAAAAATTTTAAGTGTAGTATAATTTTTCCTAAGACAAAATATTTGCAGCATAGCCCATATTAATTGAAAAGTACAAGGACAATTTGAAATCTCTCTGTGAACTAGATCTTCATCTGGAATTTCAGAAATTCCTGAACCCTTGCCTCATTGGAATAGAGCTTTAAACTGTGAAAATCATTGCAGAATAAAAGAGAAAAAAAGTAAAAAAGAAACCTATGGAAAATTCCAATTAATCATTGAGGCACAATTTGAGTTCTTATTAGTACCTTTTGTAGACTGATAATAAATCATATGGGTGAATTTTGCAGATAACCACAATGACTCTCTTTGTGTTGTGCAGTATATTATTCATAGAAAGTAAATGCCATCTGTTAGGTAGTAACCATGCTTTTAATATAAGACATTTTCAGCCTCTTATCAGCTCAACATTGTCAACATGGATGATATTGTTGGAGGCTGAAGTTCAGCTGCTTTCAGTGACAGGTGAAGGTATTAGAATTGGTGCAGTACTGTCATATTTGCTTGTGAATAGATAGTGGTTTTGTTAATTAATCCAAAAGAATCAAACTCACTTTAAAAGGAAAAAGGTAAGAAAATATAGTCATGTGTCTCTATTTAAAACAACAAAATCATGGTATTTTAGAATGGTAAATATAAGCCAAGAGTAATATCTTGTTGGAGACAACAGTGAGATAGGAATTGATTGCCTTCTTTCTTCTTGGCCACAGGCAAGTGTTTTGTTTACTTATTATCAGATATTATTTCAGCTGGGGTTACCTCACAGACATTGACCATTATTGCAAATAGAGGCATCATTTTTTTTCTTTTTTGATAAAGCACCTTAGGCAAAGGTAAAGAAAGAAAAGAGTGAATATCATTTTAACTATGATCAGCCTCCATTTAAAATTACAGTCTGTCTGTAAGTTATATAGGAGGTCACTACTACTACATACCTAGTTCTTTAAAGAAATAATACACCATCTCCTGGAAAAAACAGAGCACCTGTAGGCAGTAAACAATTTTTTTTCCTCTGCCTATATAAGCTCATGATCTCCAGTGCAGTTTTCATGCAGAAGGCAAGGATTTATGATTCTTGCTTTCCAGACTTCAGTTTTATCAGAGACAGGGAGGAGGATTGGCTGTCTTTCCATAAAGAGTGGCTTCTGGAAGGTGTAATTGTCATATGTTCTTTTGTGAGTCATTCCATTCTGAAGGAGACAGAAAAGATGTGTTCTTCTCAGGTAAATGTGTGCATTGGTATGGGACATGATGACTGTATTTACAGAAAAACCCTCATTATTATAAAATCTAATCTTTCATTGTGCTAACTCATATTTACAAAAAAACCTTTTATTATCTGTTTTACTTTATATAACATATATGACATATTATTTAATAAATACAATTTTTATTATATATTAAGTTATTTAATAACTGTATAGTATATAAATAACATATATTATATATTAAATTATGAAATAAATACATAATAAATAATTTATATAATAAGACTGAGAGCCTATTGCCATAGGTCTCGGTTTTCCTGCTGCTGCAACTCTTTAATAAACTTCTCAGGTTGTATTGACCCAAACCATGAGTTTATTTTTGTTGCTAGTTCATAACTGTAATTTTACTACTACTATGAAGCATGCTATGAATTATGTAACTATCTCTGCTTTCTTGTAGCTTAGGAAACCACCATAAGATCATTTAGGAGATTATGACATTTGACATGAAAAGTGTCAACATTCACAAGATGAGAACGGCTAGACTATTGGATTTTTGCACAGAAGTCAAATACTCTTTCTCTCAGATCAGAAGTCATCAAAAATTAGTATTCGTTATTGATAACAAAAAAGTATTTTAGAAAAGTTGATTTTGTGGACATTATGATTTTTGATATGATTAAAATTTCTCAGGGTTATATCAAATTTATTTGTTTGTCTCAGTGAATTTTCTTTAAGACTTGAGAACAGTTTTAAATCTTCATTTCTCATGTGCCTGACATGATTTTTAACTACCTTAGGATTTTATTATGTTTCTTCCTTATAATTTCTTGTAATTATGTCAAAATAATTAATTAATCTTTGACTAGGATTCAATCATAAAATAAATATTGTAGTTCTTTATTTCTGTCATTGTTTTCTTCAAGTGATTTGAAAGATGATTTTTGTCATATTAATAATTGATAATCAAAATGAAGAGAAAAACATTACTCTAGGGTGATTGTGGGAAAAATTTTGCTACAAGTAATCTGTTATTTTGAATAATTGCTGATGATTTCTCAAGTAATCTGTTATTTTGAATAATTGCTGATGATTTCTCAAGTAATCTGTTATTTTGAATAATTGCTGATGATTTTTGTATATATTAGAAAATATGAGATATATTTCATAATATATGCTCTAAAAATAGAGAGGGATAATATAAAGAATAGTAAAGGATTTATTTTCAAGGACCTAGCATGTGAAAAATTCGTGAATTTCTACTCATATATTTGACATTTTTCAGGACATAAAGAAGAAAGCACTCAGAAAGCTGAAGTATTTACCCTGTCACCAAATATTCAAGCTCACCAAAGCATCTATAAAGGAGACAAAACTTACAAATGCAATGAATGTGGAAACTCTTTCGCCAGTTCCTCAAACCTTAAAGTTCACCACAAAATCTATACTGGAAGCAAGTCTTACAAATGTAATGAATGTGGGAGATCCTTCACCCATTCCTCAAGTCTTAGAGTTCACCACAAAATACATACAGGAGACAAACCTTACAAATGTAATAAGTGTGGTAAATCATTTATACAGCCCACACAACTTCATGTTCACTACAGAATTCATACTGGAGACAAGCCTTACAAATGTAATGAATGTGGGAAATCCTTTACCCATTCTTCAACTCTTAAAGATCACCACAGCATCCATACTGGAGACAAACCTTACAAATGTAATAAGTGTGGTAAATCATTTACAAAGTCCTCACAACTTCATATTCACTACAGAATTCATACTGGTGAGAAACCTTACAAATGTAATGAATGTGGGAAATCCTTTAAACAGTCCTCAGATCTTAAAATTCATTACAGAATCCATACTGGACACAAGCCTTACAAATGTAGTAAGTGTGGTAAATCATTTACACAGTCCTCACATCTTCATGTCCACTACAGAATTCATACTGGTGAGAAACCTTACAAATGTAATGAATGTGGGAAATACTTCACCCATTCCTCAACTCTCAGAGTTCACCAGAGAATCCATGTAGGAGACGGACCTTAGAAATTTAATAAGTATGATAAATAATTTTCATGGTTCTCATGTCTTCAAGCTTACTACAGAAATCACTCTAGAGTTCAACCATACAAATGTATATACAGTGGCAAATCTTTTAACTGGTGTTAATCTCTCTAAGGTCATCAAAGAATTCATACTGGAAAGCTATCTTAGAGGTGTAGTGAATGCAGGAAATCCTATTCCTGCTTTTCAAATTTTCAGTATCAGCAGAGAAACCATACAGGAGACAAACCTGAAAAATATAGTAATAGTGGAATAGTGGAATAGTTTATTTCCAAAGGCCTCAACTCTTCAGTCTCATCACTAGAATCCATCCTGTAGACAAACCTTTCAAGTATAGTGAGTGTTGCAAATCCTTTACCCTGTCCTCAAATCTTCATGGTCACCACAGAATCTGTATTGAAAAAAATCATTACCAATGTAAAAAAACGTAGAAAATCCTACACTCAGAATTCATATTTGCAAACCAAATGTGGCATGCATACTAGAGGCAAACCTTACAAATGTAAATAATAAGGCAAATCATTTATCAAAAGATCAATCCTTAGACCACAGACAAGATCCATGCAAGACACTACGATAATAGGTAATTAAACTTCTAGCATTTCTCATTTACAATGAGAAATGCATTTGTAAGAATTTCAGTAATGGTGAAACTTTACTCATTATCAGAGAACTACTACAGGAAAACTCTACATTTCATTAGGAATTGCACATATTTTACCTAAAACAAGCTTATATTCATACTAAGTATTTTTTGGAAAAAAATTAAAATAGTTTTCAGCCAGTACAAATCTGACATCATTAATTAATCATGGTGTAGAATTTATGTTCTAACAAATTATAGTATTTTAAAATGTAAGAATTTAATTGAGGATAATATTAATTAGTATCCTAGTCAAAATCAGTTGCATAATGTTCTGTATATTTTAGTAGGGTAGAATATTGACATTTGTGAGATAAATTTTATGTGAATATTATTGTTTTGTTTGTCTTTGAGCTTTCTATAGGATATATTATAGGTAATTTAAATCAAACTAATCCCTTCTTTGTCAGAGATTTTAATAAATATATTACTACTGTCTTCTATTAATCCAGCGTTGTATGAAGAGTATTCATTTTATTTTATTCTGTGATGGTATCATTCTTATTCTACATAAACTCATTGATAATATCAACAGAATCTTGTCTCAAAAAATAGTTTAATTGCTTTATACAAATTACAAGACCACAATTAAGAAGCGTATATATCCTCAGCAGAAAATCCCTGAGGTTTCTCACTGTTTTGTGTGTGTGTGTGTGTGTGTGTGTGTGTGTGTGTGTGTATGTTTTATGGATAAAGTCACTGTCATTTCAAGGAACATAACTTCAGGTATATAAAAAAGTACCAAGTTGACAATTTTTGGGGTGATAATATTGAGGATTTTAGATGAAAAATCCCCCTCGGCACATGTTTTGATATTCATTTTATGTGCTGAATATAGTCTTCTGTACAATTCTCCTACATGAAAGTTGTATTCAAAATATTTCTTCACGAGAAAAATATTTTGACACAAGTGTCAGATATGTTAATGGAAACATGCTGAAAATTAGAATTATAAGACAATTATATTTTTAAAAAAGAATGCAGTCCTTTGAATCTTTTAATTGATTTGAATTAATAATTTCATTAAGGATAAAAATGCCAGTGCATTAAGTACTAATTATTATATCAGTAAGACTTCATAAATAACATTTTATGAATTTAGACAAAAAAGGTTTATCAAAAATTTAAACTATACTTTGAATTGTGTCTTTCACAGTTCTATCCAGAGAGTTTTTGGAACTCCAGTAGAAAACTGTCTTGAAAGACAGTTGTCTGAAATATGTCTCCAGCAGAACATAGTAAATCAGCCTGTAATTCATGATTTGAGTTATTCATTCAGTACTGCCAGATAACCCTTCCTGACGTTGCTTCTGCCAGGTTAGACTAGTCCTTGGCACTTTTCTCATTTCTTGTTTCTTGAGCTGTGTGGAAACATTTTATTTCTGTAAATTCTAATGTGTAATCTGTTGGTCTTAATTCTGGGAAAGAGGTATTTCTATTCAGAAAATACTTTCAAATAGATAAGTAGATGATAAAAAATTAGAATACACATAGATATATAGTAGATATAGTATATGTACAAATATATATATATATATACCAAAATAAATATTTACATATATACATATGTAATATATGAATGTATTTTCTGAATAAGATTCCATACAGATATCATCTAGGTTTATTTCTATGTACATATATCTATATGTCTATTCTCCATCTATAATTATATTAATATAGATAGGATAAAAATGATATAAGTATTATATATATACATATATATATTATAGATATTGTTATAGATATAAATAATAATGAGTAAATCTATGACTGGATATAGTCTATTCCAATAGTTTCAGTATTTTGGTTTTAATGTTTATGCTTTTTAAACACTTAGATCGTTTTAGTAAAATGTTATACCACAGTTTTGAATTTATCATTTCAGGAAGATTTTTGGTAGACTTCTCAGGGGATATATATATATATATATATATATATATATATATATATATATATAACCTTGACTTATTATTTCATTATACATTATAAGCATCACTTTCATTTTCTTCTTTTGCTTCCTGCACCAGGTAGAATGTAGAACACAGTATTGAACAGGTAGTTGTAAAGTTGACATCAGTGTGACATTTTTACAATGAATGAGATTGCTTTAAATTGTTTCCATTTGGCATGATGTTGGCTGTATGATTTATATCTATAGTTTTAAAAATTACTTCAGTAATTTCCTTACATCCCAAATTCTGTGTCTTTCCTTTTCCCCCCTAATAGTGTCCCTCTTCCCAACCCTGCTCTCCTTATTCTCTGAAGAGTTGTGCCACACCCCTAACCTCGGGTATTCTGTCATGTGGCACTTCAAGTCTCTGTGGGTTTAGGAACTTCCTTCACCATAGCAGTCAGAAAAGGCAACCCTATGTGATGGAGGCCTCATTCTAGCCCATGTGTGCTCTCTGTAGTGGCTCAGTTTCTGAGTAATGCTAATTATGAATGTTAGTCAACTTGTTTGGTATTGCTATGGAGTTTCTATCTCTCTCATGGTCTTTAATCTTAATCCAAACATTTCTGTAAGAGTTGCTGACCTCGATCCAATGTATGGATGTTGGAATCTGCATCTGTTTTAGTCACTTGATGCAAATAGCCTCTCAGAGGGCACTTCTAGCCTTCCGCCTATAAGTATAAGGAAGTATCATTGCCACTGTCAGGGACTGGTTCTTGGTCATGGGATGAGTCTCAATTTGGGCTACTTACTCCTTGGCAATTATATCATTCTCTGCTCCATTTTTGTTTATCCATAGATTTTAGACAGGACAAATTTTAGTTCAAATATTTTGTGAATGGGTTGGTGGCATTAACCCTGTCCTAGAAGTCCTCCCTGGCTAGCGGAGGTGCCCTCTTCTGGTTTCATGTATGCATTGTTAGGCATCATGTTTATGTTCACAACCATTTACTAAGGGAAGCATCTACAATCCCAGCAGATGTCTGCAGCTTAATAGACATTACACCCACTCCCTCCCTCAGCTGGTGCAGAACTCCTTCCATTATCACATATTGCTAGACCTTTAACTTTCCCTCTCCACACAGCTAATTCTTATCCACCAATTTTTCTTCTCATTCCCTCTTTCACTATTTTTTCTCCCTCCCTCTGGCCCCTATGAGTATCTATTTCATCCACTATGTAAGATTCAAGCATTTCCACATGAATTTTTCTTTTTGTACTGTAGGGTATATCATGTGCTTTGATATTTTATGGCTAATATCCACTTATCAGTGAGTACATACTCTACATACCTTTTCAGCTTGGGATATATCTTCCTGAACAATATTTTTTAGTTCCATTCATTTGCTGCAAAAATCATGTTGTCCATTTTTTTATTAATAGCAAGATAATATTCCATTGAAGAAATTTATGACATTTTCTGTAACCATTCTTTTTTGAGTGATTTCAGAGTTGTTCTCAGTTTCTGGCTGTCATGAATAATACTGTTATGAACATAATGGAGCAAGTGTCCTTGTGGTATGGTGGAGCATCATTTGTCTCTATGATCTGCAGTATAACTGGGTCTTCATGTAAAGTTTTTTACAGTTTTTGAGAAACCACCAGATTGATTTCGAAAGTGTTTCTTCAAGTTTGCAACCCCACCACTTATAAAAGAGTGTTCCCCTTGGTCCATATCTGTGACAGTATATGCTATCTCTTAAGTATTTTATCTTAGCTATTCTGATTGGTGCAAAACAAAGTATCAGGTCTCTGAATTGTACTTCTCTGTTGGCTAATATTGCTGGACAATTCTTTTAAGTGCTTTTCAGCTATGTGAGATTCTTCTGTTGAAAATTCTATTTAGTTCCATTTTTTAATTGAGTTATTATGTTAGTTGGAGTAAAATTTCTTTAGTACTTTATGTGATTTTGATATTAACCTTCTATTGGATGTACATTTAGGGAAGATCTTTTCTAAAACTGTTGGCTGTTGTTTTGTCCTATTGTCAGTCTTCTTTACATTACAGAAGTATTCTTTTCAGTTTCCTGATGTCTCCTTCATGTTTGGTATAGTTGTTGTTTAAATCTACCAATCTACTCAGTCACTGGTGTTATATTAAGAAGTTGTATCCATAACTGCATTCAAGGCTATCTCATAATTTCTCTTCTATTAGGTTTAGTATATTTATTTTTATGTTGAGTTCTTTGATCCACTTGGAACAGAGTTTTGTACAGGGTGATAAATATCCATCTATTTAAATTTTCACATTTAGATATCCTGCTAGATCAGCACAGTTTAGAGAAGATGCTCTCTTTTTCCAATTGTATGGAATTGGCTTCTTTCCTTTTAAAAATTAATTGTCTACCACTGTGCAGACTTATTCCAGGTTCTTTAATTTGTTTACATTGTATATCCACTCTGTGCCTATATCCATAGCAGGCAGAGACACGGCTTGTATACATAAACATGCCCCAGTTTAGAGGAATGCCAAGGTAGGGAGGCGTGAGTCCGTGGGTGGTAAGGAAAGCAGCACCATCGAAGTAGGGAGAGGTAAGAACAGATAGAAAGTTTCCAAAAGGAAAACCTTGAAAGGGAAAACAGTTGGAATGTAGATAGATAAAATATCCAATAAAAAAGAATATATGTTGGAAGCCAATAGCCAACATTATGTTAAAAAGATTAAACTTTAAACAATTCAACTAAAATCAGGGCCAAGACAAAGCTGTCTACTCTCTCCCTATCTTTTCAATATAGCACGTGGTATTTTAGCTAGAGCAATAAATCTAAAAGATATCAAAGGGATACATATTAGAAAGG